TGAGTCGATTTTGAGCACTGTTTAAAATGTTTGCCACATTGTCTTCATTTATAAGGCTTCTCTCTGGTATGAACTTTCTAATGTAAAGGACTGAATACAGATTAAAGGCTGTACCACATTCCTTGTGTCTGTAAGTTTGTAACCAGTATGTAATCTCTTATGTCGAGTAAGGCTTGAATGGTGCCCAAAGGTTTTGTCACATTCTCTACATTTGTAAAGGTTGTCCCCCATATGAGTTCTCTGATGTGAAGTAAGAATTGATTTCCAGTTAAAGGCTTTACCACACTCCTTACACCTGTAAGGTTCCTCACCAGTGTGAATTCTCTGATGTTTAGTAAGAGTAGAGTTACAGGTAAAGGCTTTGCTACACTCTCCACATCTATAAGGCTTCTTTACAGTATGAGTCCTCTTATGTACAGTCAGTTCTGAACACTGTTGAAAGGCTTTGCCACATTCTCTACATTTGTAAGGCTTCTGTCCAGTATGAAATCTCATATGTACAGCAACACTTGAGTGCCGAGTAAAGGCTTTGTCACATTGTCTTCATTTATGAGGCCTCATTCCGGTATAAACTTCCTCATGTAAAGGACTGAATACAGGTTAAAGGCTGTACTACATTCCTTATATCTGTTAAGTTTGTAACCAGTATGTAATCTCTGATGTCAAGTAAGGCTTGAATGGTGCCCAAAGGTTTTCCCACATTCTCTGCATTTGTAAGGCTTCTCTCCTGTATGAATTCTCTGATGTTCAATAAAGCTTGAACGCCGGTGAAAGGCTTTGCCACATTCTCTACATCTATAAGGTTTCTCTCCAGTATGAATTCTCTTATGTCGATAAAGGCTTGAATTGTGCTTAAGAGCTTTGCCACATTCTCTACATTTGTAAGGCTTCTCTGCAGTATGAATTCACTAGTGTTCAGTAAGTGTAGAGTTGCAGGTAAAGGCTTTACCACACTCTCTACATCTATAAGCTTTCTCTCGAGTATGAATTTTCCGATGTTCAATAAAGCTTGAACGCTGGTTAAAGGATTTGTCACATTCTCTACAGTTGTAAAGG